GGGGCGGTGGTTTGCTTTTCGTGGTGGGTTCCCCTGTGCTGAGCTGTCGGTGTCGGCCAGGCAGGTTTTCCCGGCGTCCAGCCTGTGCTTCTGCGGAGGACCACGGCGCTCGGCCTGCCGGCTGTTTGCGCCGGGCCGCTTCAGGTTGGCAGCGGCTCTCTTGAGCTGTCGGGTGCACAAAGCCGCGCTCCCGCTGAAATCCTGCGGTGTGAAGCGGAGAATTAATTCATCTGCCTTCCCGGCTGTAATTCTTGAACCCTTCAAAATGTACCTCTGCCTCCTTGGCAGTCCCCGTTGAGCTGTGCTCGGCTCTGGGTGCCCTCTAGTCCCAGTGGCATTTGCTGCAGAATTAGTTGCAGCCTTTGTGTCCAGTCGTGTCCGTGTACTTTCTTCCCCAAGCACAGAACCTTACGCTCGTCCACTTAAACCTTCTCCTGTCTTTTTTTTCCCCACTCACATCTCATCTCGACCTTACGAAGAGTATTTTGAATTGACAGCGTGCCTGATGCTCCTCCCAAATAGGAGGAGCTGCAGATTTACTAAGGTACACTTTTTCCTTCAGATTCTTGATGAAATGTAGGGTGGAAGTCCAAATGGTACACGTTCCACATTCGGCAGCGTCAGTAACCTGTGTTGTCTTTGTAGCTGGTCTTGGAAAAGTAGTAGAATGTTTCTTCAGGGTACGGTGAATGTTGTAGGCCTGATCACATAGCCAAAAAGCCTTTTTTTTAATGAACAGTAGGAAGTCAGGAGTATGGGAGAGGGAGGATCCACAAAGGTAAAGTTCCCTGCCATATATCAAGGGCTGTTATGCTAGAATAAACAAGCCAAGCTTTCTGAGCCTTCATGAAGACTTCCCCCCGCCCCAGTTATCATAATAGCCCTTTTTCTGTTGTTTCTTGTAGTTCAAGTTGATCTGTTTTGAACAATTAAACATAACATTTTACACAGTTTCTGATCAGGCCTCATCAGTATTTTCATGCAGTGGCTTTCGTACTTGCTTTGTTCACTGAAGACAGCTCAGTTCACCTGATACATCCTAGGATCAGCTTGTCTTTCCCCCCCACCCCCACATTACTTAACTGGCAGCTCATTACTGCCTTGTGACATCCAGATGTTTTCCTTGTGATTACAGACACAGTGCTTCAGATCTTAGTCTCCAGGTGCATCACCTCGTGCTATAACCTTCAATACCATTGAATTTCATTCTGGTGGGATCACTACAGCCCTGAAAATAGTACAGAACTTCCTGTACAATAAAGTGACCTTCCTCTGTATGGTAATACCATAATCTGTCAGGCCCCTCTGCTTTTTGGGAGTGGGGTTTCTCGGGTTTTTTTTGGTCAGGAGCCCTGTAAAGTGTTAAACAAGGCTACTAACATCAGCATTCTTTGAGGAACTTCACTAGTGACCTTCAGTCAGCTCTGTATTTCTTCTTTCAGCTGAGCATGTTGTCTTCTTCCTGTCAGTCAATGTGTTGCTCCCTTTGCAATTATTTAAATTATTTTCTCATTTGTTTCGTGGCACAATATTGTATGCTTTTCTGAAGTCAGCTTGACTTTTGGGAGGTCTCAGCTTTGTATTTCTACCAGCTGTGGTGACAGGCAGCTTCTGGCTTTTCTGTCTCCACTGTAGAAAGCAGCTCAGATAAAGCTTCCTCTTGCACAGATTTTTAGAGGGAAATTTCAAGGTGTTAAGCAGAATAAGGTAAGACAATATATGATTTCCCTGGCTAGTATTTTACTATTATTATTTTTGGTCATCCACCCAAGTTGTTTTCTCCACTTTGTTTCCCCTCTCAGGCTGTAGCTCTTACACTGGCAGTTCTCAAGAAGAAATGGAGCTGGTGAAATAAAGGTGTAGAAGAGTTTGAGTATTAGGTTTCACCAGAGTGCCTCTTCTGAAGCACATCTTGATGAATGTCTTGCCAGGGAGCTTCTGTGAGTCAAAGATCACAGGCTGTGTTGACACCTTTTTACCACGCAGAAAAAGGGAGCAGGCAAGACTGGAGGCAGTGGTCTCTTGTTTTTTTTTTCTTTCAGAAGACGGGAGTTAGGAGAGAGGTGTGCTAGGTGGAGAATCGCATCTGATCCTCATAACCGTACCAGCCACAAACATAGCTGCTGCCTCCCGTTCACCTTTAAAGCCATTGAATCTTCTGTCCCAGCTCAAGGAATAGACTTGGTGCTTACAGGAAGAGTAATCAAGGTGTATCTTTCTTGCAACAATCGATGTGTTTAAGAAGTAATTACTGGTAACTTGGAAAAATTATTTACCCAAGTCAGGAGTCTCTTTCTCTGCAAGGATTTTATTCTGAATTTCCCTGCTTTTCTCTGTATGTTTCCCACTAAGGTGGCTGGAACAGGTTTTATGCAGTAGAAGTCAAATTACTAAGAGCCTATGTGCCTGGAAACATTCTCCTTACCCAATGCACAGTGAAATTGGCTGGAAAGTGTCCTTTGGAAGCCATGAATACCTCTTAGTGTTTGATATCAGTATTTGGGGCATGAAGTCAGGACAAGGGCATAAGAACCATTACAAGAAAAGGAGGGGAAGAAGGAAGGGAGAGCAGCAGTCAAATGGCTCTTCTTTTTCTGAAGCTGGGAGCTCGGGTTTGGATAGCTGAGCTAGAGATCTTTGTTTCTTTGACAGAGGAGAGCTGTGTCAGAGAATCATTCTGCCTGGGACCACAGAGGTTTAAAATGAGTACTTAGTGGTTTGATTATCGCTTTCATGCACCCTGGGAAAAAAGGCAACAAAAAAACTGTATCTGTGGGTTGTAACTCCCAACTACAGAAGCATGCGTGTGCACAATCCCTTCTGTCCCTTCAGACTGAGTTGAGAGTGCGTATAATACTACAAACAACTAAAACCTTTGAGAGTAAACTTTTCCTTATGTAATGCTGCCTGGGATAAATGTCAGTAAAAAGGAAAGCAAAGATGCAGATCTAGGGGGAAAAGAGCACTTAAGTATTTTTAAGGTTTTATCAATAGAATGTAAATCACAGGTTCACTTTAATTATTGAAAAGTACAGTCATGTTAAAATATGTTCTGTATCAAGAGTTGAAACTGGTATATATCTTATCTGGGTCAGTGTAAGTCTCCCAGAGTGGCAGGGTAAATGTTTGCATCTTTCAGGGTTAGACAAAAGCTAGAAAGTTACAGTTGTGATTTAGGGTTTAGCATGCATTTCCTTGGCAAGCAGCCACAATGGCTTAAAATATTACTATTCATCTCCTGGAGGTTAGTGCCCACACAGACGTGTGAGATCTCTTAAGCTGCTTCAGTGCTGACCACTCTCCATGGCAATTCAAGCTGAAATCGTGGTAACAAATAGTTGAGAAGGATGGTAACATCTTCAACTAAGTGAATTAACATGTGTCTCTGGGACTCCCTTCTGCAGTATTTAAGGTTTTGTGGGTGTTAAATGGTGCTATATTGCAGAGTTGCTTTATCTTCCACTATAAAGAGCTTTTAAATAAATAATAGCCCCCAAAAGCCTTTTTGTATGACTTTTATTATCCTGTCAGCAGGGCGCACAGTAAAGGCACGCTGACATTAGTTGCAGGAATTGGTGATTATGTTTTGCAATCCTTAAACTTGAATAGTTTTTTTTACAGTTTTACATGTGTGTGTTTAAGAGTTTTCATTACAGATTTTTATCAAGCCATTTGAAACCTCTATCGCAACTTCATTCTAAGATGATGTCAATTGAAACTGTTGTGTTGGGAATTCACAGGGTCAATGATTTGAAGACTGGTACCCTGATAGGAACTGACAAATATGGAAACAAATACTATGAAGACAAAAGAAACTTCTTTGGTATGTGTACTAATGTGAACGCCTCCTGACTGACTGTCCAACTTTGTATAGGTTGTGTAGTTTCTGCTAGTGAAATAGAACTTGTTGCCTGCACGACTTCCTCGTTCTTGACTTGTGTGAGCCTTAGGGAAGGGGCTCATAGAAATGCTTTGATATCTTCTGTCTCTGCTGCTTCCCTCAATTCTGTTTGCAAACATAGTCAATCTGAAATAATAAATAGGGGATAAATATAAGCCAGTCACATGCTCTCCATGTAGGTATACCTATATGATAAAGTGATTGAGAGCTGAATTTGGTCCTTGACCTAAAAGCTGGTAGCCTAACAGGTGGGGGAAGAAAGAGAACTGCCTTTTTAACTGCCTCACAGCTGTACTTACTTATATGATCACTTCAGGGCAAAGAAACACAGGTTAGCTTAAACTTCCTATTACCTTAAGTAATTGGATTTTAAATAACATTTGTAGAGTACTTTAAAAGGTAGCACCTAAACCAACGAAGGTGACAGATAAGCAGTTGACACGCTGGCTAGGCCAAGCTCTGCCTACTGTAGGTTAACTTGTAGGGTACCTGGGAAAGCAGGTGCTTGGTAGTCTTATACGGGTGAAACTTAGTTTAATCTTATGTTACTAATGGCAATGTCCTTTTGGAAAAGACTCCTTCTAATGGGGGAAAAAAATCCCCAAACCTGTTTCTCTGCCTGAAAATTTTCTAAGTTCCTATTTCCCATCACTTTTACGATAGCTAATACTTGCTTCCTTGTGAAGGCGTTAGATTCAGCCATATAAAAATACAGTAACACTGGAAATACAGAAGACTTAGAAAAATAAAAGCTGTACTGCCTTTGAAATAAGTGCCCATAATGGTTGATCCTTTCAGTCAAAATACTTCTTCTTGTGTTTTCATGAATTCTCTCCTTTATTTGAAAAGAATTTTTTTTTTGAGCTAATACAATATTTCTCTTTGTTTATTTAAGGTCGACACAGATGGGTCATCTATACTGATGAAATGAATGGCAAAAATACCTTTTGGGAAGTTGATGGAAGTATGGTGCCCCCCGAATGGTAAATCATTTAGCTTAATAATGTGGACAGATACTAATTGTGTAATTGCCTATATATTTTCTTGTATCACAAAGCAAAAGATTAGAAACAAAACCCAAAAAAACCCCAAAATTTTATGGTAATAAAGTTTTCTTGGACACAACCATCTTATATATGACCAGAAGATTTCAGACTGGTTACTTATAATTTTGAACTGCATTCATAGTGTTATATTGCTTACTGTCCTGACAGTCACACTCATTGCTTCTTGGAATGCAAAAAGCATTTTGCCAGCCAGATTGAGCAGGTCAAGGCAGTCTTCCGATTTTCCTTATTAGTTGTGATTCCATCTTAATGGTTTCACAAAGCTTACAATAGCATTCAGCAGCTGGAGGTAGAAAAAAATATTTTTATTATCCATTCTGGACAAGACCCTAAGGAACGTAAGGCAATGATGAAACAATATTCCTTAATCCACAGCTGTTAACAGCATAATTGTTTCAGTTGATACACATTGATACTCTACAAGATGATGAACAGCAAAGGGCCAGGATGCTCTGTATGTTGACTGTTACTTGACTATAATTTTTCTTAAGGTTTTATTTTCTGTTTGTGCATTTCAGTAAAAATTCTGTACAACCTTGAGTTCCAGAAGGTCTCTGGCCACACAGCTGTTAATACTTTTTTTTTTTTCCTAAATAAGTTGGGGGAAAAATACATACCAAATAAAGTAACAGTATACGCTAGCAAAACCAATCTCTACTTGATTCTTGAAGAATATGAATAGCACTTCAGCCACAAAGTAATGAAAGGTGATATGAGGTAAGAGGTGCTTGGGTAGACTGAGCATTGGTAAACACTGGTTTTTATTGTTCCTGTGATAGATGTTCTGTGCCAAGGCTGAGACTGATGATCTAAACTCCTAAATTGTGGTTCTCATTAGAACACTTGAGAAATGCGTGGGTAGGCTGTCTAGGTAGTCAATTTTCTTTCAAATTCTCGCAGCCTTAAAATTATGTTTAATGCAGGTAATGTTTTTTTGTGTCTTCTCCAGTAAGAGCTTAATGGCATTGTTTTTTAGAAGTGACATTACAGTCTCCAAAACTAGCATGTTCATGCCAGCGTGTGGCTGTTCCTTGTTATCTGCGCAATAACTGTTGTTTGGTTCTAGTTTTTATCCTTTCACTGTTAGACCGTGCTGGTTTTCAAGATTTCCCTTATTTTGAGGCATGGTTTTTGTTGGTTTGTTTTTTCTTTACTCATGCTTACGTGTTGTTTATTGTGTCCTTACAAACCTTAATAAAGGGTTTCATCCTGAGTATCAAAGTGATGTTTCTAGGATTAAGTAGCTTGTTTAGATCACATAGTGAGGTAGAAACACTTGTTTTCCTATCAATGTGGAAAAAAAATGGCCTAGAAAAACAGGAAACGTTTTATGATTTTCAAGACTGGTCAGTCCAATGGGGCATGAAAAGGTAAACGGTCCTGTGTTCTAAGGTATTTTTGTCAGGAAACTTAGTTGTGCAGTACTGTTCAGTTTATTGGTTTTGTTTTGGGATTTTTTATTTCTTAAAGCACTAGCCCTCCCTTCTACAGATGGAAAGGTGAGTCAAGTTTGTCATCCTTGGGTCAACTGGGAAGTATATAAAGTACCATTGTAACAGCTGGGTTGTGATCTGAATACTTCTTCTAAACACTGATTTTTGATTCTGGGTTTTAGTTAATTCAGCTCAGTAGAGCGTTTTGTGGGTATGTGGTTCTACCCTCTGCAGGTAGAAGCAGGTTCTACTACATTGTTTATGCTGATGTTACTTTCAGAAAATATTTTGCAACTCTCATGCCTAAAGATGACACTTCTAACAAAATTGATGTTTAAGACCAGGGCTAACTCAGATTTTCCTTTTTTAAACAGTAATGCTAACTAGTTTGTAATGATTTTGTAGTACTCATAAAAATCCTACTGTATGTAGGATTACATTACTGATTATCCTACTGATTACACTGTTTTCTTGGGAAGTAGAACACTAGCAGATGTGCAGGAAAAACACTTTCTTCCTTTTTTTTTTCAGTATAACTCATACTAGAGGTTGTTTTTCTCCTTGTTTCTGGTTGTTGAATACACTGTGCATCTTAAAGTATAATTTTTGTGGTCAGTTGTGTGGCTTCAGGATTGTGGAATATGAATGATTGTTGAAATACAACCAGGTGGACCTCAACATGTGTGATGAATTGGAAGAAGGCATTTTGGTATCTTGAAAAGTTCTGAAAACAACTGTCTGGAAAAAATAAATGAGAATTCATTTAGCTACCCTTTATCCTCTGTCAGATACTGGAGAAAAGGAAAAAGCAGCATTTTTAGGAACTACTTAATATTTTCAGTATTCTGAAAGAGTTGAAGTAATGTCTTTTGACAACGGATGTACTGAAATCACAGACTGAAGGAAATCACGAGTTGTTTTGACAGAATGTCTACTATACAGGGAATTGAGACTGTTACTTTTTTAAAATCTGTACCAGAATATGTAGGCTTGTGGTTTATTCTGATTTAGTTGTGTTCTTTGTTACTCTGGGGTTTCTTTTCTTATCTTCAAAATCAAGATGTTGGTATCTACTTTGTTGGAGACAAGTTAACTAGTTTTTTTTTTTTTTAAATTCCCTCAGTACTTGCATTGGGAATTATTAGTATTAATCTTCTTGTAATGCTATACAAGATTTTGGGCACATTTTTTTCCTACACAAAGACGTATTCTACACTGTTAGACAGTTAGAAAAGCCAAAATACTTGTTTTGTCTCCTGCTGTTCCGAGACTGCAGGGACTTAATACTTCCATTTTTGAACACACTGATTGGGTGTGCTCTGTGAACATGTAAACAATAAAAGTTAAATCTGTTTATACCTATGCGTGTATGCACTCAAGTGCTTTCATAGATGTCTCTGTTACAGAATTGTTCCAATTGTTGGGTTGTAGGTTGTGCTCATTTCCATTTTACTGTTAACATTAGAATGCCCAGTATCAGCTTGTGTTCCTCATTCACTGATCTCCCAACCTGAAAATACTACAGTTAGCAAATCACCTCCAGGAGCCCCAGGTGATACTATTTTATACAACTGGCATATGCTGCTTCATGCATGTGCTCACATTCAGGTGTAGTCACAGCTTATATACAGATACACTCATTACAAGCAAAACTTTTTTCTGTTTGCTCAAAAATAATCGAAAACCAAGCAGGAAGATGATATGGATAAATGACTTTCAGGTTTAATATTGTATACTTTTGGCTCTGTAGAAAAGCTTTTTAAAGGTTTTGGGGAAGAAAATGTTAGTGTTAAGATTAAGAGGAACATGTGACTCCTTGGGAATCCCTGAGCAGCTTGTAAGTATTAGTTAGGGTACCAAAAGTATTTTCACAGGCAAAGAAAAGAGTTTTCATAGTAAAACTGGCTATCTTGAATGTGTACTTCTTGATAATAATGTAGTTTGCTCTCTTCCTAGGGCGAGGGCTATAGAGCTTACAGTTCTCTCCATTCACCTTCCCACCTGCCCTGGTAGAAGCAGGCTTGGATCACAGGCAAGCTGAAGCCTAGGCGAAATGTCCTGGGCATGTTTGTTAGTAAGGAAGTGTGCTTAAAGCAGGGTCAGCTTTTTTCCTCCCCTTAATCAAAGGCTGCACAGAGAAGTGAAATATTAGGGGTGTAAAATATAGATAGATGAATCAAAGAGGTCAGTGCTGCTTTTTTCTTGAATGTTATTACCAGCCTCAGGTTATCTGCACTCCTAAGTTTGGCAACGTAGCAAGTTGCATCGTCTCACTTCATGATCACAAGAGGAAAAGGAGGAGTGAAATCATATGGCTGAGTGCAGAGACAGAGGGCAGGACCCTGCTCTTCTGGCACCTGCAGCCTCTTACTTTATGGTGTGCAGGAGGACAGCACCGGGCAGTGCTGCAGGATGATCTAGGTGTTATGGGGATGGCGGGTTGAAGTCCACATTGTCGTAGTGCTGAGAAAGAAGTGTGCTGTCCTGTGAAGTAGAGAGAATTACTGCCTGCAGTCATGCAAAGTGACTCTTCCTTTCTGTTTATTTACCAGGAAGACTTTTATATAGGGTATAGCGTTTGACTCTGGGTACCATGCTCCTAAAAAAACCCAAATACACACACAGACCAGTGGGAGAAGCCTGGGGAAGAGCGGCAAGGACAATCAGACCTCTGAGGACAGTTGGAAAGAATTAGAGTTGCTTAAAAAGGATTGGAAATTACCATGGATATAATATCGAAGCATTTAATTTCTTGCAGAAGGGAAAGGCGTAGTCTGTCTTCCACAGATAGATGGGTAGAATAAGAAGTAAGTTTAAATTGCAGAAGGAGTGATACAGATTGGACATTGCTATCCTTACCACTAAAAAATTCCACTCATCTTCACTGGTATAACTTGGTTGGGGAAGATGAGCAAGCCAGTATTACAGCAACTCCATAACAACTTAAGCAGGTGTCTGCTGGGAGTGATGTGGATGTAGCTGATACTTGCTTGGGCATAAAGCATATGCAGAGTGTCTAAATCGCTTCCACACTTGTATTTCTTGATTCTATGATCCTCACATCTAAGGGTTTGTGGTTATTTTCACTGAAACGAGGTGAGGGGTGAGGACTGCGTATCTCAGTGTCCTTAATCTGTTTGGGATTAGAGGAGAGAATAGCATTTTTTCCCCAGAAAATTTACTATATCAGTCTTGACTTTCAGGTTATGTTCACATCTCATGCAAAAAGTTGCCTATGTGTCTGCTTATTCCTGCCATGGGTTCCTATTTGCTATTCAGTGATCAGGATACTCCTGCAGCTGGAATTTGGAAGAGCATGAGTTTGTGTTTGGATGATTCTGGAAGGTTCAGCTTGAGCCCACTGAGGGGGAGAAATTTGGAACCCAATTTTCCACTTTCAACAGGGTTATGCTGTGGTGTAAGGCTTCCTTTGGAGAGTATGTAAAGTCCATGCAAGTCAAGGCTTGATATCCTAGATGGTAGGTGTGCTTCGTCTGTACCACATTCAAAGCCTTTTGTGGCTGTCCACACACTGTTCATTTACCCTTTATCTGGTTTAAAGTAATTTGGTTTATGTTTTGGCCAAATGTGTTGCAAAAACAAATTGACAAGTGGTTTATGTATACAAACTAGTTAAAAATAATTTGCTCTTTCAATATGTTATGTCCTGTGGGGAAAAAAGAACTATATTTTGAGAATAGTTTTTTTTCTTTTGCAGGGACACTTTATTTTTCCAGCACTGTCCTATGTATGTGTAATGTCTGGCCTGTACTTTGGTGTTTATTTCCTTATGGTGCAAGTTTGACACTTTGGAAGGAGCTTTGGGAGTGCTAACTTCATACAAAGAAATATTTCAAATTTAACTTAAGTTTAATACATCTCTTTGTTAGTTGATCTGACAGCTGAAGGAGGGAGGAATGTAGCATCTGAGACTTAAAAGTGCCAACATACTAAGAAATTTAAAGAAATGTGCTACTCTCCTGTGAAACTGCTGCTTTTTAAGTCTGCCTCCAAGGAAAACAAAACAAAAAGGTTGAACAGAAAGGAAGGGGAGGTAAAATTTCTGTCCTTTCTGTAGCTTCACAATAAATTTGTGGGTTTTATATCTAGATTAAATGCTAGTGTGGTGTTTTCAGGTAAATGGGGTGCTGTCTCGTTACTATACAGTGGTATCTTAGAGTAGCTTGCATGAGAAATCAAAGTTACCTCCCATGTGTAAACAAATAAAAACATGTTTCTTGTCCCTTTTTCCTTTTCTTCCCATTCTTCTCTGCCCTTTGACCATAACACACATATTCACTTCTCTTTTGTCTTATTGCAGCATGGTTAACTTGCTTGAAAAAAGTGAATGCTAACCAGTTGGCAAACATCCTGAACTTAGGTAGACAGTGCCTGAACCCTGCAGATGCACATATGGTAGTAGCTACGGAGTTTGTGTAGCATCCGTTCTTGTTTGACAGCTTGCACATCATATAATTGGCTCTGGTCCCTTGTAGCTTCAGTTTGAAATCTCCTTGCTTTTAAATATTTGTCCAAGAGAAAATTCTGTATAGTCTTGAGAGCGTTTGAAGATACTTTGAGGTGTCTTTCCTCTGTTTACCCAAGGAAAAGTCCAGAGGCTTTGCTAGCCTCAGTCAGCTTGGTAGTGACTCTGCTCTGTGATTCAGGAAGCTGCCTCAGCCTCTTCAGAGCTTCTGCTATCCTCCTGATTTTCTTTGCTCTGTGTAAGTTGTCTGCTTCTTTGTAGGTTTTAAGTTATTAATTGCTTTTGAATCCTGTTTATCCATGCATGGATTTATAGGCAGAGTTTGTATAGAAACCTGGCCATCTGCAAGACATCAAATCTCTTTATTCATGCTGTTCAATCTAGTGCATGAAAAGCTTTTCTTTAGCATCTGGGAGTAGAGTCTATGAGACATCGGGGCTTCAAAGGACTCTTTGAGGGAGGTTGTCAAGGGGAAAGTCTTCCCAAAATAACATTTTCAGATTTTACATATTTTTGCCTAAGTGGAGAGTGGGAGCTTTTGTTTGAGAGAACAGACTCTCTGCAAACTGAAATGCTTTTGTAAGTAACGTGTTTGGCTTCTAAGGGGAATCCGTTGTGACCAGGCTTAAGTGCCGAAACTCTTAAACATAAGCATACTTAATAGTGGATGGAGTTCTAAAGAAACTTTTGAAATCTCTTCAGGTATTTCAGTACCTGTGACTGTACCAACATGGCTTGTAGGTGAGCAGTACTGACATGTCTTGTAGGTGAGCAATTTTACTTCTACTTTCCAGTGAGAAAATGGGATTTAAGGATTGGGTTTGCTGATCTGTTTAAATCTGAGCCTGATTTCACATTGATGTTATAGAGGTTCAGAAAATCCTGAAAGCAAATATATTAATTACTCAAAAATACTGTATTTTAAAACACTTCATGGATTTAGTCTTAGAAAAGCTGCAAAATGGTAGTTTAAATGACTGAATAAAACTACTCTTGTAAATAAGTCAATACTGTGATGATTTTTTCTGGTGTTTCAAGGAGCAAGTGTACAACATGAGTACCTTTGTCATGACAGGGGTGCCAGACATCATGCAAGCTTGAAATCTAGTTGACTTTAACTGAGCTTTAATATAGTTCTTGTGCTCCACCTGCTCTAGCCTGTCTTTCAGGGCCTTTGTAACTGCATTTCTGTCTGAGAAGGCAATTTTTTGTTTGTCCTGTTGGTGTGCATGACTCTTGGGGGAGCATGAGGACGGTGAGGCATGGTGACAGGTATATAAATAGGTTTTTGTTTGCAGGATCTCTGTCCAGTATTACCAGAAATGTCACTAGGTGAAGGTCTGTGAATTTAAGTTGCCTCTATACATTATGGTAAGCGGTTTTGAAAAGCTGAGGCTCCTCTGGACTGATGCTATGAAGCATTTTGAAATGCAGTACTTAAGTCAGTATTGGCACTATGTATATGTACATGGACTGTTCTTTTCCCCTTCCTCCCATGCCACAAACTGTGTGTTTCTTTGTTAGCGATGGAGAGCCAGCTTGTTGGGAATGAGCATATGATCCCACCTCTGTCAAGTTAGCTGTTTTACAGTGTTTCTGCCAACTTTGATGCTAGCTGCCATAGGACACCTGATATCCCAGGTGGTGTGAAGCACACTACTACACTGAATTTTTATAATGGGCATGAACTGGGGGAGGGAGTTCATCTAAGGTCAGAGCTTTTTGTAGTGTGGCCAGGGCATTTCAGAGGCTGGTAATACTAGGTTTAACATAGAGCAAGGCCTGATCCTGTATTCTTAGACCACATGGTGATTAGTAGTGCTATGGGCCTGCCTTCTTCCAGACAGAAATCATTACCCAAAATCATCTTCTTTAATAGAAGTAGTGAGAAATGTATACTATAAATGATACCAGATTTACAAAGGAGAGTGGGGGGAGGAAGAGGAGGATCCCCTTCCCATTCATGTTGTATTGGGTCACTTCATCTGAATGTGCGTATAACTTTCAAACTCCTAAGTGGATGACTTTTCCCATAAGAGGCTATGCTTTACCTCTAAACAAGGTTTTTATTCTTACTTTTAAAGGATCTTATGGTTCCATCTGGTTTTGTATTCAAGTTGCCTGGCAATCCATAGTCCTACAATGTGTGCCTTTCGTTTGGGGTTTTTGTTTGTTTCTTACTTCCAGAAAATGAACATGTGGCTGACATTTTTTTTAAAGTGAGATTTTGTACTATTTTTTTAAAGTGAGATTCTGAAATAAATGTCTAGAAGCTATTTGACTGAAAGGATAATCAACCTTCTGTAGAGCTCTTCAGATTTGGAATATACTTGTCAGTCTATTTCTCACTACTTTTATTGTGGGTTTGTTTTGCTGTATTGATGAAGCATGCCGGATTTGTTGCTAAAGGCTGAAGATGCAATTTTTAGGCTTTCTAATAACAACTGTAATAGAAGACTTCTCATTTTTAGGTCAAGTCTTTGGCAAAAGCTGATTAGCAGAAGCCCTTTAATTCTACCTCAGTAAAAAAATATATAAGCTTGCAAAAAAATTCATAACCTTACTTCTGTCATAACTGTGCATACAGTATGAAGTACATGTAAACTGGCAGATAATTAAAATGTTATTCAGGTTTGAAAGTTGCTTTGGGCACTGAAGGAGAAATGGGATGAAATCAATTCAGTTGATCCCTGCTGTAGTGTTTCAGTAAACTGTTACGGAAAATACTTTGCTTAATCATTAATGTTGTTTGCACAGGGCAGGATTGACATTTAGTTCATAGGTAAAGGATAATCACTATAATCACTTGGTAATTACCCCATTACTGATTGGTATTAATCATTTCATTGTGCAATCAGTAAACATTTACGTGATTGTTTTAGGTGAACCTATATCATTAATCCATATCCCAAGTGGTAGCCTCATGAATGTATTGGAGATGATATTGAAATTGTTGTGCAGCCTAGTCTTCTGGTAATTAAAAAAACAACACACACACACACAAACCAACAAAAAAAAAAATCCTAGGCAACAAAACCAAACCTTGTGGTTTTGTCATTTGTAGTGCCTGCCTTGACCTGGCTGGCTGGTTAAGGCCATACAAACATGTAACAATGAAATACTCTCTGTCCAAATATTGAGCATACAACGGAACAGGAAGTTCAAACTCGGATGTGCTTTCAGTTGCTTGGAAGCAGAACTGTTACTTATCAGTTATGTTTGTGTAATTACTTTAAATCGGTATCCTGTAGTCTCATTCAATGTCATACTGGATTAAAATCCACCCCACCACCACCTCTCAAAATAAATACTTGGTGTCTCTTCAGAGGAGAACCCTTGGGAGTCAGGAGGAAGGATTGTTACAGATCATGTAATGTTCCTTAATAACAGTGTGTCTTTTTCCTCTTAAGGCATCGCTGGCTTCACTCAATGACGGATGACCCTCCAACTACTCATCCACCAGTTGCTCGTAAATTTATCTGGGAGAACCATAAATTCAATCTAAGTGGCACTCCTGGACAGTATGTACCTTACTCTACTACTCGCAAGAAGATTCAAGAGTGGATCCCACCTACAACAGCTAGCAAATAACAGCAACAAAAAATGTGACTTGCCTCTGCTTTGGCTTTCAGTATAAATTGTATTTTCACTGGTTTTGTTCAAAATAAAAGCCTCCTATAACAGCTGTAGTTTAGTTTATTGAATTGGTGGGAAAACAAGTGAGAAAACACTGGGAAGAGGTAGAGGACAGAATATATGACAAGACTTAATCTCATCAAGATACTGGGCTTTCTGTCATCTTGTCAGTGGTTCTTGTCTTCACATAAGCAGCTCTCAAACTCTTTTTAGCATGATAAACATTCTTGTGACAGTCACTTCTCTCATTTGTACCAATCAACAGAGTACAAACATAAATTTGAAATGCAGGATTCTAATCTTTAATGTTATCTTATTATAGTCTTTGCATGGCAGATAATGTACTATTCATGTACTATTTTAGGAAGCCATCTCTTTAATGTTTATAAGACAAATTAGAATAATGAGGCCACTCAAGGATTATAGTTTTTATTCATAAATTCTTTGTGCATGAGTATGCATGCATTGCTGTATTACAGCATGGTATGATACATAATCTAAAACTTGTAAGGCTACAGTAATCAACTGACATCTCGCCCCTAAGGGAACTCGGCCACAAGCAGAAGGTTCCCTGTCACAAAAATCTTTTTTGTTGCTTCTGTGTCACTGAGATTCATTAGAAGATGTTCTCACAAGGGTTTGGGATGGGCTGTTTGCCCTGTTGTGACAAGACTTGAAAGGTCTTTGGAAGTTTGAGAATACACGCTTTTTGGGGAGGTAGAGAAGTAAAATATACCAAAACCTATTCTCAAAAATGTGAAGCTTTCAAGTTCACATCTGAAAGAGAGTTGGTTGGGGCTGTGGCTTTTTTATGTATCTTGCAGCTGGTTGGTGCTTATTGCAGTCTGCTAATACTTTTTAGCAGAGCTGCCCTCTCCACAAGGCTTCCTGTATCTGATGACCTAGTCTGTAGATAACTGACGGTGGTGGGATGCCCACCCAGCCCCTGCCTCACTCCACCACCTCAGCTGGATGGGGGAGAAAATAGACAGCTTGTGGGTTGAGATAAAGATGGGAAGACTGCTTGCCAGTTACCATCATAAGCAAAAGAGACTTGACTTTAATTTATTGCCAATTAAAATAGATTTGCAAGTGAGAAACAAAGGCAAAAAAATGTAAGACACCACGTTCCCCCCACCCTTCTTCAGACCTTCATTCCTGCCTCCTCTACCTCCCCCCTGCAGCAGTGCTGGGGCATGGGGGTTGTGGTCAGCCCGTAATAGCTCCTGCCTGCCGCTCGTTCCTCGCGCATTCCCCCCGCTCCAGCATGGGCTCTCCATGGGCTGCAGTTCCTGTCAGGAAACACCTACCTGCTCTGGCATGGGCTGCTCCTGGGGCCGCCAGGAATCTGCTCCAGCGCCTGCAGCATCTCCTTCACCCTCCTCCTGCTCTCACCTTGGCGTTTGTGTGGCTGCTGCACACTTCTTTTCCCCTCCTCCTCTGCCTGGGCCATGTTTTTGCCCTTTCTTAAATACTCCTTCCCGGAGGTGCCACCATCTTGTCTGAGGGGCTCAGCCTGTGGTGGGTGGAACCGGCTGGAACCGGCTCTGTCTCCTCACAGAGGCCTCTGCAGCTCCCGCTGCCTGCACCTTGACAATTACACCCGATACACTGACTTACAAAAATCATTGCTGAAGACAACTAAGAAGGATTTTGAATATATTATATGCTTGCAATTGCCTGTCAAGAGTTAAAAACCTACTTTGCTCCCTAATAGCCACCCCAGTGGCTGCACTGCTGGCTCTAGGCTGGCTGATTTTCCTTCTCATCCCCACCTGACTGGGTGACTTAGCCCCCAGTTGCTTCCTTATTAAATGAAAGTCCATATTAATTCATTACTTAAAGGTGTGCCTTTTAGCTTTAATTGCTTTAAACTAGTTCTAGTCTCTAAATTAGTAGGAAGTAGCACTTATATCTCCTAACCTATCTAATTAAAAAAGGATAATGTTTAATTTACTTTAAGTCAACAAAAGCACTGAGCACAGCTGAAAAGCAATTTGAGCCATACTGAGCAGCATACGTGGAAAGGACTCTTTCAACATTTTCATCTTGATTATTTGACCTTAAGAACCAAGTTTGCCCCAGCGCTGCTGAAGAAAGAGTTCCATTACTAACGCTGATCTATACATGCCCTATGGGCACACACCTGGGTAGAGCAATTAACTGCGTTAGTATTAGCCTCTACTTCTTTTTAATGCATTTTCTGCCTGTTTCATTCCTCTTCCTTCTTTGCCCTGTGGATTTTTTGGATTGCAGCCGAAATACGTGTCAGGAGGTACAGTTGGGAATGAGCCTCCGCATTCAGGGGACAGACAGGGATGCAGTAACTCTTCCTACACCTCCTGTGCTGAAGAAAGAGGCCTCAGAGCTGGTTTGTCCTTTTGTTGTCAGCTGGAACAGAAATTCTGAGGGAACAAACAGTTTTGAACAGCTTTGTGTACAGCAATACTCCACAGAAGCAGGAAAATGGGCTCGTCCTGCTGCCTTGCTGGGCTGAAGCAAGCCTAGGACTCAGTAGCTTTGTTTGGAAAATATCATCGGTCCTGCTTCTGGAGAGGACAGAAACCTGTCCATCCTGCTTAAATCAGCAGGAACCACGAATGCTGGATTTTAAATGCAGAATTTCACTGACCTCTCTGGTAACATTGCTTTTCCAAGGTAGATTGCATAAGGCACGTACAGGAAATAAGACATACGCAGAAAAATCAGCAGTCTTCCACAGGGCTCTCTGTAAATGCTTCTGTGATTCAGTCTTTTTATCAGCAACCTCATTCACTCATGGAAGTTCACCTTTGCTGATGACATCTGCCTCAGTGCCCAGGCTCAGTTGCTTTCCAGTCTAAATGACATTTTAAATGCCAGGCTGGCCCAGTGTCACAGCAGATGGTGTCTTCAACCAAGTGCAACTGAAGCACTGACAAGAACATTCCCCTTGCACTAAATGTGAGTTTTAAAAGAGGCAACTTTCTGACATGGGAACTGTCGTCTTAATAAGAGAAGTACCTCTTCCAGGAGCAGCAGAGCGCTGAAACTCACTTTTATTTAAAATGGTGTATTTACCAGTAGCTTTCCACATCCCCACGGGCTACGGCAGCCTGCTGCTGTAGCTGCCTCTGGGCTATCACTGTGCTGACAGCACGCTCGGCTCAGCCCCATGCATTGGTGTGGAGCTCTTCGCTCAATGGGGCACTGCATCCCGCCTGGGGCCGTGCCTCTGCCCGATACAGCCGAAACTGGCCATGAGACATGAGGGTGGAGAACGATGGAGGAAGCAGCTTCAGGAGACCATCTCCCCTCGTGAAGATCCCAGTAACAACAGGTCAATACTGGGGTGTGCAACACAGCTCTGCAGCACAGGACCTATGGCAGCCGCGCGGCCGGCCACACGTGCCTGCCATGTGCCACATTCAACCCGCCGGCCGAGCCAGCTAGCATTGCACAGCAGGACACACTGCCCAGTCCCCATCATCGGGGGTGACTCTTTGCCAGCAGAAAGTTTACCAAGACCCTGGTAGTCCAACCGCCCAGGTCTGCACAACAGAGTAACAAGAGTGGGTTCCATCAACAGGATCTGTTTGCAGCACATCACTCACTAAGCCTCCAGATTTTGACCTTAAGACCCCAAAATTGCCCTGGCTGTGCAGGAGCAGGTGGAGGTTGCCTTGCAGACAGAGGACCTGTGCTGTAGGTGAATACAAACAGCACTGTTCAATGCTCTCAAGACTTGATATTGGCTGTGACATTGAAAGCAGCTTATGAATCCACCATAGCTACGTTTGGCAAAATGTAACTTCACCAGATGAGATGGATGGAGAGGAGAGGCAGCACCAGTATCACACTGAAGAGCTTGCAGCAAAGAGTTAACATTTCATAACCCTTTCTAGCTACAGCAAGAGGAGAAATCTTTGACGGGTGAGGATATCCTAGACCATTTAAGAAAACTAGAAGGAGAGGGGAGGAGGCCTTGTCCTTTCCTGCCCAACCTGTGCTGTACTACTGACTCCTACACGCTGTGCCCACCCGGCTCCTTGAGGGCACGCTGAGAACATTCAGATACTCACCACTTTGCGTTTCTATGTCATATAAGCTCAGGCTTCAATTTTGGGGACGTTTCCTGCTAAGGTTGGTGCTGGGAAGCACTCTCAAGTGGGAATTACAGGGATGATTGTTTTGGATACAGCTGGAAGTCATCAGCCCAGAAAGCTGGGGTATGTATTTTCCACAGCTGTGATGCATACAAAGTGAAAACTTTGAGTTACTAATTCTGTGGGGCTTATTATTCTGCTGGCAACTGAGGGGGAGAGAGGGAACAGAGATTTGCTTTGCTAAGAGGTTAACAACTGCAAGTCTAAAGGCTCTCCCTTCACGTGGTGTTCACAAGTGAGTACTTCGAGGTGTGTGGGGGGGGAACTAGCAGCCTTTAAATGGTGCTTCAGGTTCCTCATGCAAATCCCACAGTCAATGCTGCTTTACACTGGGGGAAGCCTATCTCAGTGGAAGAGATCAGAGCAACGCATGTCAGCGGGGAAGTGCCCAGCAGGGATTTCCTCCTAGAGACCTGCTGAGCTTTGAACACCTCCCTCCGGCTCCCAAGCAGAGCAGGGCCCACGCACCAGAGCTAATGGTGGCTCTCGCTTCCAGCCGGATTTCAGTATGGAGTCTGGGAAGGGGAGTGCTTTGCTGCGTGTGCCATTCCCAGCTGCCAGCAGGACCATGACCACGCTCGGCCCACAGAGGATCTCAGAGCCCCTGGAGACCTCCCTTTGCTGAAGAGCCAAAACCAGGTCTGGCCATTTCCTTTACTTACGTTTTTGAGTGACTTGAACCCATGTAACATCATTTCCCAAGTCGATTAATTTTGCAGGTGCTCTTAGCTTTGTTCACATGAGACAAACACAAAGGGCAGAATCAAAGAAGGATTTTGAAGAAAAAAAAGCAGTGTTTTCAAAATTTATATATGTAATAATCACCTATAAGATGGTTTGGTTTTTGAAAAAGCACTCTAAGACTTGCATTTATAATTTCCTCTATGCATTTTCCTTAGAGG